CTGTGGATCTAGGGACTGTGTGGACACTGTGGATCTAGGGACTGTGTGGACACTGGATCTAGGGACTGTGTGGACACTGTGAGGCACGCTGTTGCGGAGAGACACACGCAGGGCCCAAAGCTGTCTATTGAAAGTTCCTCGTGAGCTCGGTCAAGGCCTGCTTCTCTGGAGGGCTGGGGCTCACTTCTGGGAAGGGGTGATTTCTTGAAAGCCCTCAGCTTCCTCCTGGGAGTTGTCTGAGGAATGATTAACTACTATTAAACAATTCCCTCCTTCTGCGTGGAGCTGCTTGAGGCCAGGCAATTCTGCGGCCAGGCCAATCGCTGTCACAGCTGTGCTGAGAGACACTGGTCCTGTCAGGCACTTTCCCGACCCCTCCTCTAAATACATTTTCATACATTTTGTGATGTACTAACAGTACAAAATCGTTCTCTCTCTCTCCCCTTCTCTCCCTCTCCCTCCCTCCTCTTCCTCCCTTCCTCCCCCCTCCCCTTGTCATATGCAATAAATATGGGGGACTTATCTGAGAAATGTTGAGCCTAGGATCCTGACCAAAATATTTCAACTTTAAAATAAAATTTTAATTATTGTTATTTTTTTATGTATATGAGTGTTTTACTTGCATGTATGTCTGTACACTACACGTGTGCCTGATGCCCTCAGAGGCTGGAAGGCAGCTCCAATCTCCTGGAACTGTGGTTACAGATGCATGTGAGCCATCAAGGGTGCTGAGAATAGAACTCAGGTCCTCTGGAAGAGCAGTCGGTGCTCTTAACCACTGAGCCATCTCTCCAGCCCCCAAATTTAAAATATTTTTAAACAGGCACTGATGTTTTGGGGGAAGAAGCTCGAGCTGCCAGGTCACCAATACTCTTACTTTTTAAAAAATATTTGCTTGGTGACTAGCATCTTTGGTATCTGTCCTCGAATTATTTATATTCTTGGGACCTAACTTGAAGATCATGATGTAGGACTGAAAAGCAGACAATTCACACCCAGGATTGTGACTAAGGAGGTGGCTGGAAATAGAGAAGGGGTGAGCAGGAAAGAGGGATTCTAATCAGTAGGTCATTAGTGAGCCTGAGAGTTCTTTCCTTCAAGTTTGTCCTGCTTATTGATCTGTCCTTCGTGAACTGAGACACAATAGACGAAACAGGAAGTGTTTTTTTTATTTTTTATTTTTTTGGTTTTTCGAGACAGGGTTTCTCTGTGTAGCTTTGCGTCTTTCCTGGAACTCACTTTGGAGACCAAGCTGGCCTCGAACTCACAGAGATCCGCCTGGCTCTGCCTCCCGAGTGCTGGGATTAAAGGCGTGCACCGCCACCGCGCTGCCAGAAAGGTTTTTTTGTTTTGTTTTTTTTAAGATGGAAGAAAATGCAGAAGCAATCCCAGCCCCTGCTCGTGAATAATGTCTGGTTTGAAAGAAGCAATTTAATTCCCAATTTTGTGGGAACAGTGACTTTTGAGGATGAGCGAGTGTTGACAATCGGACCATTTTTTTCTCCTCCAGCTTGGGCGACAATGGGATTATGAAAGCAAGTTTGGCTCCTCGGAGGACTCAGAGGGGGATCGAAACTCCTCCGATTACTGAGAAGGCTCACTGCGCATCTTGAACTGACGAAGAAGGAAGTCCCAGAGCTGCGGCCCTAGTTTCTGCGTTAACCGTTAACCGGTTAAGACAGGAGGTTGGAGGAGGCCTTGGTTGGGTGTGTACCTAGGGAAGACCGTGCTAGAAATTTCCCTGGGTTTCCTCTCGTTCTTTTTCTCGTGTGTGTGTGTGTGTGTGTGTGTGTGTGTGTGTGTGTGTGTGTTCTGATGTGAAGGGGAGTTGTCATAATCATGAGTAAATGTTCCTTTAACGTAAGTGCCCAGACTCACATTCTGCTGTAGGAACCTCGCAAATGATGGCTGTCACTCACAAGAGAAGGCCCTCCGCCAGGTTTCCCTCCAGGCAAAGAAATGTGGCTGGGCCGCCCGCCCCGCCTTCGGCCCCGCCCACGGGCCTCCGGCCCCGCCCACGAGCCTTCGGTCCCGCCCACGGGCCTCCGGCCCCGCCCACGGCCTGCGCCTCCCTGGCCCCGCTGCGCTGCCCCCGCGGGGTCCCCACGCAGCCCTCCGGTCGCCCCGCAGCACAGCGCTGGGCGGGACCTGGCGCGGAAGGAACAAGGCCACGGAACAGGCCCTGCTGGCAGCCCCCTCCTCTGCCAACCGGCGCTTCGGCGCTCCTGATCGAGCCTGTCCCCCGACTCATGGCTCCTGCTGCACAGAAAACACAAAGTCGCACCCTAACCCCTAGCCGCGCCCCACACGACCCAGCCATTATTATTATTATTTTTTCCTTTAGCCCCAGGTTGGGCTAAATACATTCGCTGGAAGCCATCTGGTCTGCTTCCCAGGATCCCTTCATGTGGTTTCCATTAAGCTCTCCAGAACTGTGCATTGAAAATGCTGCCCAGGGCCGCTCAGGAGCCTCCCCCTGTCTGCCCTGCACGTGCAGAGCGAAGGGACCTCTGGGTAGGCGCCCAGGCTGGCACCCAAGGACCATGCCCTAGTGACTGCGCGTCGCCACTCCTAGGAATACATTAATCCATGGCAAAGCTTTCTCAGGCCCCCAGTGTTCGTTTTTTGCCGCATGCGAGCCAGTTTGTTAGAATGATGTTTCGATTCTAAAAATCAATGTCAACAGCTTTACAGACGAATTTTCAGAAATAACCTGGCCACAGAAACTCAGTGTGGCCAGCCACATTGGTAGGGCTGAGTCTGCCTTCTACATCTGTCCCTGACTGCCCCTATCCCCATAGGAAAAAAAAAAGTTAGCTTATGGAAAAATACTGCCTCACACAATGAGTTAGGGTTTATAGTACAAGATCAAGGAGACAGGCTGAGTTAGGCAATCATAGTGCGCTGTATCTACAGAGTTCCTTAGGGTTTATTAAAGATTACTCAGTTTATTGAGGAGACTGGAAAATGGAGGGGCTTGAGAAGGGTCACATGACCCGTGAGGAAAGTACTATCAGTACTGTGGCCTAACGTAAGGAAATAGTAGAAGAGGACCTGGCCGCCAGGTACTTTCAGGCAGCTCAAAGGATTCTGGTCAAAAGGAATTAATCTGCGGCGTCCTGTTCTTCCCCGGTCTTCCCAACAAGCAGAGTTTTTTCCTTTCCTCGGTCCGCACCGCCAGCCTGGGTTTCCTCCCTCTCTCTTTTTTTTCTTTGCTTTCTTTCTGTTCTCTTCCCACCCCCACCCTGCCCGGGTGATTTTATTTGGGATTTTAAAATGAAACCAGGTGCTTCGTAAAACAAAGGCAAAGTAATAACAAGGAAAGCCGACCCAATGCCCAAGGAATGTGCTGAGTTTTATGACTCAGGCTGTCCTGGCAAAGAACTAGGGTGACATGGAGAGGTGGGTGGCACCAAGTGAGGACCATACATGGCAGCCCTGGCCTCCCCAGATAGGGTGGTCAAGGCAGCCTGTGACTCACTCTGTAAAACCGGAGACTCTTGTTCATTGTGGAACAAGGCTTCCCAGGCTAGAGCCAAAGGCTCGTCAACTTTTCCCTGAGGGGCCAGATCCACGCGATGGGGCCAGGGCTACCCTGAGGTTTGGAGAACACGCCCTAGGCAAAATGCCACCCTTTCCCCCTGGAAGAGGCAGGCTTGGCGATGGAGCCAAGGGCACTGGTGCCTTTAGGAGATGAATAACCTGTAGGCTTTAAAGAGACAAGGAAATTAGCATGCCTTGTGGTGGGAACAATGGCTTGGGAGGGCTAGGTCTCAGGATTGCTGGAGTGCCTTGGGTGGAGGAGGAGCAGGGGTGGAAAAGCTTGTAGATGAGGAAGGGGGTTCTGGGGGCCATTCCTAACCTAGCCAGGAATAGCTACCTCAAGGGGTGGGCTGTGCATAAACACTCAGGGAGACACCCGGCAGACACGCACACATTCTGAGGATTCTTTTCAAATGAGCATAGTAATGGAGTGAGGTGTACTTTTTTTTCTGTTCCTGAGACAGGCTAAGAGTACAAGGAGAAGGTCTGTCCCAGCAGGGTGGGGGGAGGGGCCTGAAATTGGGTGACCAGGGTCTGCCAGGCTCTCTGCCTGAGTAGAACCAACTGGACGGCCTTCCTTCTGGTGTCCCTCACTCCAGAGAAGGCTGTCAGGGTTTGAATGAGAACACTGACTGTCGCAAATGAGATCTCCACACGGAGAAGCCTCGTGGAACATGGAGGCTTGTTTCTCCTTTTCCTTTTTTCCATTCTATGAATACCCACCACCAAGCTATGCTGACTATTCCATAATTTCGGGGAAATCTCTGCTTAACTCTGTCATCAAAGGCTACTTACCTGGAAAAATACAGTCTAAGAACTGTGACTTCGTAAATATTCGTAGTGTGAACAGGCGACACTCCAATTTTGTGGGAGAATGGGCCCATTCAGGTTTATTTATGATGTGACACTCGGGTGAGTGACATCCGTCATGTGGCTCGGCCCTGCACCCTGTCCCTCTGAAGCATATTTATGGAGTGACTATGCCTGTGAATGTTTGCTATATTTAGGTCTTCTCTCCACTTAGCCTTCCTAAGCCCCCAAACAAGCAAAAAGCCAAGGGACTGGTACAGGGGAGACCTGATCCCCCATGACAAGGCACGGGCTCTTGGATGTGTACTAAGGGAACAGCTGAAAAATCGAGAGAGATAATTAAAATGGGGAGTTAGTTGCTAGTCTCCATTGAGATGGTTTGTTGGGCCCGCATCTCACAGACAAGGACCCTCAGCTGGGCCCACGAGGCCCTGGCAGGTGAGAGGCAAGTGCAGGTTGATGCTTATGGGATTCTCTCCTTTTGAGAGCTTCCTCTGCCCCACACAACCAGGCAGCCCCACACTCTGCACCCCACAGCTCTGAGGGCAGGACAGTGGGGCTCTGGGGCCTCCATTGAGTTAAAGTCTCTAGTACAATGAGAGGCTTAACCTCTTGGCCACCCTGGCCCTGGGTTGGAGCTAGCTGTCCACCATCGGACGTGGAGGAATGGACCCCCTAGTCTACAGCTCCAAATGCTCTGGCCTGAGCACTGCCTGCCAGACACAGGCCTCCTTTAGGGACAGTATCTGCCCGCCGCCCCGCCGGCGGCTTGGTCATCTATTGTTTATCCTGGGTAGGGCAAGGTCTTGGCACAGGGGGCATGAAGTCTTGCCAGCGGTTTATTTTTAGAGACAGGAAAATGTCCGCTTTCTGGCAGCTGTTCTTTTTCTGGCACGCATGAGGGATGGTGTAAAAAAGTTCAAGTGAGAGATTCCAAGCCTTAAATTCATGGCATATGACAGAGGCAATCACACTGTGAGTTTCTCAACAGAAACCTTGGGCAGCCTAAGACTGATCACAGAGGCCTTGCTGCTCCCCCTGGGGGTGAAGGGCCTCAAGGCCACAAGCCAGTCTGGACACCCCCACGGTCTCCTTTGAGCATATCAGATGGCCTGAAATACTAGTTTTTGATTCTCATTTTCACCCTTGCCAATCAGTCCAGAGCCTAGTCCAAGATGTTGGGAGAGAAAAGGAGCCATCTCCAGCCAGCTTTCCCAGATCCACTGCCACTGTCACGATGGCTGTTAGCAGCCAGTTTCCACCAAGGAGCACATGGGCAGAATCAGGGCCTGCATTTCTGGGTCTTAATGGGAGTAATAGTTTTCCAAATATGGTTCCCCCTTTAAACACACTTTTTGTGGGCTCTGTATTCCAGCTACTGACAATCTATCTGAAAACATTTTATAAGTAGTAATGACATATTGTACAAAGCAAAAATGGAAAGAAAGGCAGAAAATTAGATTGTCTTTTCTAACCTTCTTTTCTCCCCAGCCCTTGGGAAAAGATTGTTTTCTAATTATAAAAATAAAATAAATGTATGATCCTTTCCTGCTCTTATAGCCCACAACCACTTTCCAGTTCATTTTTCTTCTTGTGAGTAGATTCTCTTTTGTCCTCAGTCCTTTTCCTCTGGAGAAGTGGAGAGATGATAATCATCTCTGGGGCTTGTGTGGGAACTCCCTCTTCCTCTGTGTGTGTGTGTGTGTGTGTGTGTGTGTGTGTGTGTGTGTGTGTGTGTGTGACGAGAGAGAGAGAGAGAGAGAGAGAGAGAGAGAGAGAGAGAGAGAGAGAGAGAGAGAGAGAGAAGAGAGAAGTTTGGCTCCTTATACAGCTGGAAGTTTGAATTCATTTTTCCTGAGTATTTCTACACTGTGTCTGGTTGGTTTTTGGAAACTGCTGTGGTTAATTTAAGTCTCTTGCTGATTATGATCTCACCCCTTCGTAAGGAATCTCTCCAAACCCTGAATCCTGCTGCACCTTGAAGGATTGTCATTGTCCCTCTCGTTCCCTTGGTGTTCTGCAGTGTCATAGAATTATGTGGACCTGTTGATTTGGGCAGTGTATTTCCCGTGGGACTAGCTGAGAGCTTAGGCTTGTCTTTAGTGTGGATGTCAGATGAGTGTGGATGTGAGACTAGAAAGTTATTTGATCTGTATAGGAAGTACTGAGGACAGCTGAGGGCTGTGGACTTGGGCACAGGGGAGAACTTTAGGTAGATGTAGGGAAAATGAGAAAAATAAGTCTAGGGAAGGATTTTTGTTAGTTTAATAAGAAAAAATGGCCAAAGAAGATTCTTAACTTTTATGTGTGTGTATGAATGTCTACATGTTTGTGCACAGTGTGCATAAGAGGTCAGAAGAAGGTGTCAAACCCTTGGAGCTGGAGTC